GCCAGTCACTGGATCAATCCACCTTATAGGGGGCCTTCTCCTTCTGTGCTGTCCCTCTACCCTACCAAGTATGATGTCCCTCCCCAAGGACCTGACCTCCTTACAACATGTCCAAAGTATGTCAGATGGAGCCTTAGAATCGTTGCCTCCAAGGAGCAGCCCGGTTTGACCCTTTCCAGGATGAATCTGTTTGTTTTCCTAGCAGTCCACGGTACCCCCAATATTCTTCTCCAGCACCACAGCTCAAAGGCATCGATTGTCCTTCTATCCTCCTTAGTCATTGTCTAACTCTCTGACACATAACAAGTGAGAGCAAAGACCATGGCCTGTTATCAGGGGCATCTTAGTCTCCAAAGAGAGACCATTGCTCTTCAGTACTTTGGAGAGGTCCCTAACAGCAGACTTTCCGATTGTAATACGTTTTTTAATTTTCTGTCTACTGGTGCCAAGAGTGTTGACTGTGGAGCCAAGCAAACTGAAGCTGTGAACAATCTCATTCTCTTCACCATCCATCCTGATGCTGCCAATTGGCCCAGTGGTGAGAATCTTTGTCTTCTTGACATTAAGCCTCAATCCATATTGAAGGCTGCAGTCCTTGACCCTCTGCAGCAAGTGCTTCAGGTCCTCCTCAGTTTCAGCAAGCAGGGTTGTGTCATCTGCATAACGCAGATTGTTGATAGATCTTCCACCAATTTTGACCCCACATTTCTCCTCATAGAGCCCAGCCTCCCAGATAATATGTTCTGCATACAGGTTGAAAAGGTATGGAGATAGGATGCATCCCTGGCGTATGCCCTTCCCAATTTTGAACCATGCAGTGTTCCCTTGCTCTGTTCTGACGGCTGCCTCCTGGTCCAAGTATAGCATTAGAACAATCAAGTGTTCTGGGATTCCCATTCTTCTCAGAGTCAGCCACAGTTTGTTATGATCCACACAGTCAAACACCTTTGCATAGTCAATGAAACACAGATAGACATTCCTCTGGTATTCTCTGCTTTCAGCTAAGATCCATCTAACATTAGCTACAATATCCCTAATACCATGACCCCTTCTAAACCCAGCCTGGACTTCTGGGAGTTCTCTGTTGATGTGCTGTTCCAGTCGTTTTTGGATAGGGTTAAAATTCTTTTTCATAGGGTCACTATAAGTCATACTCAACTTGACAGCACCTAAGAACAACAATAACAACATGTGTCAGGGATAGAGATCTCTGGTGATCTAGAGGCAAGAAGCTGTGATGTATTCCCAAAGGCATTTGATCTACCAGCTACTCCACAGGAGAAGGATGGGCAGTTTCCCGTAAAATCAACTGCCTCTGAAAACCAGCCAGAGAGTCAGCTATGGGTTGATTCTGACTCAGCGGTAAACAACAACAACAAATGTGTCAGGGATGTTTCTTTTCTCCATACTTATTCAATCTGTGTGCTGAGCAAATAATTCATGAAGCTAAACTCTATGAAGAGAAGTGTGGCATCAGGATTGTGGCATCATTAACAACCTACAAAATGCAGGTGCTACAACCGCAGGGTGTGAGTAGGACTTGAAATGCTTGCAGCAGAATATCAAAGACTACAGATGTCAATATGGATTACATCTCAACATCAAAAAGACAAAAATCTTCACTACTGGGCCAATAGGCTTTATGATCATTGTTGTTATGTGCCATCGAGTCGCCTGTCACTCATAGAGACCCTACGTACAACAGCCCTAAACTCTGTTCTATCCCTTGCCAATCTTAATGTCACTGACAAGACTATCCCATTACTCCAGTGACGGAATCAATCTATCTTATTGATGGTATTCCTATCCTGCTTGATCTCTCATATTTTGGGCATGTTGCTAACAGAAGCTATTCCTTGGAGAGAGACATTATACTTGGAAAGATGGAGGGTCAAAATAAATTCCATGTATGACTTAATCTTTCCAAATGCTACTCATATATGCTATAAAAAGTATATTTTATATTAGTAAAATTTTTGTATTATTTTTATATTAGTAAAAGGAAGCAAAGTTGTGAAGTATTTGTTAGGAGAAGTAAAAAGTCAAATAATTTAATAACATTGAATATGGTGAAAAGACTATTTAGACCTAAAGGAATATAGTATCAGAGTAGAGGAGCATTCATAATTAGTAAAGCAGCATCCAAATTTTCTTAGATTTCATGGTAAAGTGATTATGTGATTTATTATCTAATGTAGGATGCTGAGTATGCATATGACACAACCTTGTTCATCTAAACTGAAAAAGACTTCAAGTCAATGGCTGCAGCCATCTATATGGATTGCCACTTGACAACAAGAAAATGAAAATCCTCACCACCAGAACAGTAGGAAGCATAATGATTGATAAAGACAGGACTAAAATTGTTAATGATTTCAGCTTGCTAGGATCCACAGTCAGCTCCCTTAGCACTGTTGTTGTTGTTACGTGCCGTTGAGTCGTTTGCAACTCATAGCAACACTATGTACAACAGCCCTAAACCCTGCTCTATGCTGTGCCAATCTCATTGCCCCTGACACGCCCATCCCAATTACCCGAGTCACTGAATCAATCCACCCTATCATAGAGGGTCTTCGCCTCCTGCGCTGTCCCTCTACCCAGCATGATGTCCCTCTCTAAAGACCTGTCTCTCCTTACAACATGTCCAAAGTATGTCAGATGAAGCCCCAGAATCCTTGCCTCCAAAGAGTAGCCTGGTTTAACCCTCTCTAGGATGAATCTGTGTTTTCTTGGCAGTCCGTGGTACATTCAATACTCTTCTCCAGCACCACAGCTCAAAGGCGTCAATTCTCCTTCTATCCTCCCTAGTCATTGTCCAACTTTCTGATGCATAACAAGTGATTGCAAAAACCATGGCCTGTATCAGGTGCACCTTAGTCTCCAGAGAGACACCGTTGCTCTTGAGTACTTTAGAGAGGTCCCTAACAGCAGACTTTCCCATCGTAATACATTTTTTTATTTCCTGTCTACTGGTGCCAAGAGTGTTGACCATGGAGCCGAGCAAACTCAAGCTGTGAACAATCTCAATCTCTTCACCATCCATCCTGATGCTACCGATTGGTCCAGTGGTGAGAATTTTTGTCTTCTTGACATTAAGCCTCAGTCCATACTGAAGGCTGCAGTCCTTGACCCTCTGCAGTAAGTGTATGAGGTCCTCCTCAGTTTCAGCAAGCAGGGTTGTGTCATCTGCATAACGCAGACTGTTGATAGATCTCCCACCAATCCTAACGCCACACTTCTCCTCATAGAGCCCAGCCTCTCGGATAATCTGCTCTGCATACAGGTTGAAAAAAGCACTAGCAGCCAGGAATTCAAAAGAGGAGTTGTATTTTGGAAAATCTAATGTCAAGGACTTCTTCAGAGTGCTAAAAAGCAAAGATGCCAGTCTTAGAGACTAAGGTGTACCTGATCCAGTCCATGATATTAGTTGCTTGCTATGCATCTGAGAGCTGGACAATGAATAAAGATTACAGAAGAATCATTGTTCAGCTCTCGGAGACATAGCAAAGTAATTGCAAAGACTTTTGCCTGGACTAGGTACACCTTAGTCTCTAGACTAGCATCACTGCTTTTCAGTACTCTTGCAAGGTAGGTCCCTGACAGCCAATTTCCCCAGTGCAATTTGTCTTTTGATTTTCTGGCTGCTGGTGCCAAGAATGTTGAGTGTGGGGCTGAGCAAGCTGCCATTGTTTACAACCTCAATCTCTTCCCCATGTATCATGGTGCTGTCAATTGGCCCAGTGGTAAAAATATTTGTCTTCTTGATATTGAGGTGCAGTCCATATTGGGGACTGCAATCCTTGACATTTTGCAGCAAGCAGTCCAGGTTCTCCTCACTTTCAGCAAGTACGGGTTTGGCATAAGCACAATCAAGTGTTCTGGGATTCTCATTCTCCTCTACTGCTGACCACATAAAAGTGCTGTGGGACATAAAATGTCAAGCAAAGTCTAGTTTGTCTTTCCAAGAAGTTAAGAACAGAAGAGCTTACATAAAAATGTAAATTACTGTGGTGGGTGATGGTGTTGTTAGGTGCTGTCAAGTATGACTCATAGCGACCCTATGAACAACAGATCTGAACCCTGCGCGTCCTGTGCCATCCTCATAGTCTCTTGCATTCAAGCCTATTGCTGCCGTCACTGTGTTAATTTATGTGATTGAAGGTCTTCTACTCTTCATTGTCCCTTAACTTTTCCAAGTATGATGTCCCTCCCCAAGGAATAATCTCTCTTAGAAACATGCCCAAAATATGTGAGATAAAGCTTCATCATCTTTGCCTCCAAGGAACCCTCTGATTGTACCTGCTCCAAGACATATCGTTTCTCTTGGTAATCCATGGGATTTTCAGCACTCTTCTTCAACACTACAGCTAAAAGATGTCTATTCTTCTGTGTAGGAGTTCATTATTATTTTCAGAAAGCCATGGAAGAAATGTGGCAGGATAAAAACCAACTAAACAAAACTCAAATGGTTACCACTGAGTTAACTCAACTCATAATTCCTGTGTCAGAGTAGAACTGTATAATTAGACTTTCAAGTTAGGATCTTTCAGAAGTAGATCACCAAACCCTTCTTCTAAGATGTGCCTGGGTAGATTTGAACAAGTCACTTATTGAGTAGTAACCAACCACCTAATTGTTTGTGCCTTGACAAATTAATTTTCATGAAATAAGTACTAATGGAGTTCCTACATGAGAAGTTTCCTCAGAAAGGAGTAAAGAGAGAGACAAATAAGAAGCATTTTCTTTGGGTCTTGAGGACTTAACAAGATTTGGATAGATGGAGAAGAGGAGAAGTAGAATGTGAGGACCTATGTCCAGAGGTAGGGACATGCAGCCAATGAGAATTAATTAAGTAAAGACAGGGCTGAATAGGTGCTTGACTCATAGAAATTGTTTTCTTAAAAGATTTTTTTACTTTTTTCAGTTCAGCAGTAGAAGTATCAGAACCACCACAATCATTTCTGGTTGGCAATGGTTCACGTTTACACCTGGACACCTACCTTATCTACAGCGCTGGTGAGCTCCCAACCAGTTTTGGCTGCCAGATTTTTGAGAGCTTCCACATTTTCATTACTTATGGACACCTAAAATACAAATATTCTCAAAGCTGTGTTTTCAACACAAAGATATATGAAAATATTTTCCGCTCAGTAAATAGGGAGCTCTGGTAGCCTAGTGGTAAGAATCTGTGCTGCAATCTTGAAGGCATATGGTTCAAATCCACCAGCTGCTCCATGCGAGGATGGGCAATCTTCTCCCCTGTGATCACTGCCTCCGAAAACCTGCTGGAGGACCAGCTATGGGTCGGTTCCAACTCGATAGTACTCAATGAAAAACAGAGGAAGTATATGTTGATTGCAAGTGATTTTGTAGAGTTTAGAAATGAACTGTGGCTAACAGAAAGTTCCCTTTCAAACTTTAATTCAGAATTCACACAAGGTAATATACGTTCTGCATATATTACTAGAGAATTCTGGGTAAGGAGTTTCATCAACTCAAAGGCAGGTGGTTCAAATCCAATGCAATCTCTTCCTGTGTGATCTATACACTCTATAAATTGGCTGGAGGTTCAGATATGAGTCAGTTCCAACTTGATGGTGCATAACAACTATCATTCTAATTGGTGTCCTGAGTAAAGACATATTGTACCCCATTTTGCTTTATAACTCACATATAAAAATTAAACTTGGTTTTTTCCTTTGATTTTCATGGTCTGAAACTTTGTGATAACTAATATTTTGCTATTCTATAAAAATATGAGCAGGTAAGCTTGGCGTCCAGCAGAAATAATGATAAGACACCAGATCTCAACACATTTCTTTTTGGCAGAGATTTGACATTTGTAGTTTGGGAACTGTAGATATAATTTTAAAAGCAGTTGAACAATTGGCTTATAAACAATTACTGAGTCTGGCTTTGCTTCATTTGGATGAGCGCTCTCATGGCTCAATGGTTAGCAGTTGCACTGCCAGCCCGAAGGCATGTAGTTTTCTCCCCTGGCTGCTGTGTGAGAGAAGGATGGGCAAACTCCTCCCAGGTAATTTACAGCCTCTGAAAACCTGCCAGAGGGTGATCTACGAGCTGATTCCTATTGAACATCATGCAACAACAATAACAGTTAAATATAATTCACTTTAAAGAAGGAGATTCAGCAATTTAAAAAGTGTGATTCTCACATGAGGAACTCTAAATCATTAAAATGTCACCTGGTTACTTAGATCCCAGTGCACACAGAGTGAAATCTCTTCTTTATAAGAAGTAACATATTTTCTGGCGGGGAAAAAAAAAGAGCATTATATAAGAGTTTTCTTCTCAGCATTTGACACAAGTGTAATCATGCCCTTGTCCAACTCTTTTTCATCATTGAATCTAATTTTTATAATTTGTGTGGTGTTTCAATCTCCAAAGACAAAAACTGAATTTATAAATATATTGATAATAAAAGGCAACAATAATTAAAAATGTAAAAAAAAAATCCCAGAAGCTTTAAACTTAGGTGTCAGAAACACATTTTGATGGAATCATTGCAATTGAAATCCCAAAATAAGTTGATATGTAGACCACTTACCTGCCAAGGCGAATTCTCCTGCGTGCAATTGCTCCACGATATCGTCTAAAATCCTCCTTTAATGAAATAACAAAGGAAAATAAATCCATTTTTTATATCTTAGTGTCTCGGAAGTAATCTGAAAGGTCTAATTAGGGTGTTGTTGTCTTCACATGTACTCTCCTCATCAATCAAAGCTGCCTTTGCTGAACCCAGAAGGCAGATTGTGGATAAAAATTGCAACTATTACAAATATTTTAGTTCTTTTTTTTAAAGTGGAAATTGTTACAATTTCTGTTACCAGAATTACACATATATCCTATACAAGTGCTTTTAAAATAGTGAAAGATGCCATTATTACAATTTCAGAATGAAGATGAAAAATTCAGTTCAGATAAAATGTGTGGCAGTACAGACAACTGGGTGGAAGGAAGTGGGAGAAATGAGTCAGAAAGGAAGACATGTAACCAACAGAAGCATGTGGCCAAGAAGAGGTGAAATTGTAGGGCCTCCAACATCACAGCAAACAATTAATATGGAAAAGAAAGTCCACTTTACTTCAAGATGCTGAAAAGAAAATCAAAGGGAAGTAGCCATAGAGGTTGTTGGTGAGGCAAAAGCATTCTGGAAAGAGTTCTGTACCCACAGTTTTTCCCCAGAATAAGTGGTCTGATTAGTAAACTTCATGTGATAATAACTGACCTTTGACATGGGTTTAATTTTGGGGAAAATGACAAGCTCTTTCTTATCATCAATCACATTATAAATGAGAAAGGCACTGTTGATGTGTCTGCCTTGGCCTTCAGACCATTCCCGACAGTTGAAGGCCTCCACGCGCACTCCAACTTCAACACTGTGAGAGTACCACAGAGGGTGTGAGTTTAGAGGATCAGAGCATCAATGAGCTTCTAGAACCACCACCCCAGTTACCACCACCACCCACCCAATCTTCACCACCCCTCTATTACCACTACCAACACCCCAACCACAATCCCCAAACAGCATCTCCATAATCACCACCAATACCACTACCATCACTACCCTAAACACCACCCCAACCACCACTACCACCCTGATCACCACCACTACCACCTTGATCACCGCACCCCCAAAATCACCATCACCACAGTCACCGCCACCACTCAATCACCAGCACCACCCTAATCACCACTACTATCCTAAACATCACCACCACCACCCCAATCATCACCAATAACCCCAAACAACCCACAACCACAACTACCTTCCAATAATCACCACTACTCCAATTATCCCCTCAATCTTCATTACCCCCACAATCACCACCACTACACCCTTAATCACCACCATCACCACCACCACCACCACTACCACCTCAACCACTACCATCACCACCATCATCACCTAGAGTAACCAAGGAAATGAATACACCCCCTCTAAATCTATGTAGTTATTAAAATTCATTTTCTTGGGTCCATGGATCAGTTTTGGAGCGTTTCCACTTTGTATTCATCTTACAAGTGGTAAAAAGACAACTTAGGCTTTATCTACATTTATGAACACATTTTGATAGGTTAATGACAGTATACTATTAACATTTTTTTTCTAAAAGCAGTAGCTTTATAATAAAAAAAGAATCAAATGTAAAAATCAAGAAGTAACCATGTTGTTGTTAGGTGTCATAGAAATGAGTATGATTTATGGTAACCCTATGAAAAACAAATCTGAATACTGTCCTATCCTGGGTCATCCTCATCTCTGACACACTTGAGCGCATTGCTGTAGTCACTGTGTCAATCCACCTGATTGTGCGTCTTCTCTTTCACCAAACCTTCACCTTTCCAAGCATGATGTTCCTATCCAAGGAATAATCTCTCTTAGTAACATGCCCATAAGATATGCATATAAAACAAAGCTTTGCCATTTCTGCATCCAAGGATCACTCTGGCTATACTTTTCCCGAGACATATTTGTTCATTCTTTTGGCAGTTGATGGGATATTTGGTACTCTTCTCCAACACCACAGCTCAAAGGCATTGATCTTTCTTCTGTCATCTTTATTCATTGTCTAACTCTCAGATATATAGAAAGACCATGACCTGAATCAGGCACACCTTAGTCCTCAAACTGACACCATTGCTCCTCAGTAATTTGGAGAGGTCCCTGACTACAGACTTTCTTTACAATCTCTCCTGAAGTTCAGTGTTGTGAATGATCGGATACAATCCAAACACATGCAAGGAAGACTTGTTAGGAAATAACTATAGATATTATCTTTACCATTGGTGGCCTAGTGGGTAAAGGGTTACACTGCTAACCCAAAGACAGAAAGTTTGAATCTACCAGCAGCTCCAAAGGACAAAGATGGTAATCTCCTTCCATATGACTTACAGTGTTAGAAAACCCACTGGAAGGTCAACGATGTGTTGGTTCCCACTCAACAGCAATGAGTGAATGAATGACCATTTAAAAGAAGAAAACCATTACATGTCGGCAATGAGTTGTGATCGTATTAAATATTTTCATTGTGTCACAAGAGCGACAGAAATAAATGGAGACCAGTTTGGGTCTCACAGTAATAAACGACCATAAAAGTCCATCAGGAATTGGTTGACTTAATCACTGAGATATTTATAAGTTAATACTTATTAATCTGCATTAATTAATGAAAAGTTCTCACATTTTTGTCATTAGGTGCCGGTGAGTGGATTTTGACTCAGTGGACCCACATAACAGAGTAGAACTTCCCCATAAGGCTTTCTTGGGTACAATCTTTTTTGTTGTTCAGGCTGGGGCTGAGTAGATTAAAATCTTTCCTTTAACAGTCACGTGTTTAACTGTGTGTGTGTGTGTGTGTGCACGCACGCGTGTGTGTGTGATAAAAAAATCCCCCAAACCATCAAGCCCACTGTATTGAGTTGACTTTGACTATCAGCAATCCTGTATGGCAGAGTAGGACCTGCCCACAGAGCTTCCAAGGCTACAGACTTTATGTACTGCTGATTTTACAGTCAGAGGCAGAGCACTTAACCGTCATGGCACCAGACCTCCTTGTGCTACTCAGATTCCTTTACTAATGTATATCCACATGAGAGTTACATCAGCAAAACAGGTACAAACTGAGATACCCTTAGCAAATGCTCATTAGGAGACAAAACTAACCCTCACAATGTGAGAATGAGAGCAGAACAAGGAAAGAAAATGTGGGTTTTTTTCTGATTTGAAGATTGAGAGAACAAGGAATGTGGTTTTGCTGATTTTGAAGATTGACTGCAGGTTTTAGGGGGAAAAACATTGGTAGGGGCTTGGTTACTGAATAGTTCTCACACTTATTTAGGATTAACAGGAAAAGAAACATTTATTCCCAAGTATGAATTAGTTTATGCCAGCTTTCTGTGTTCCTAAGGAGCTCTGTGGCATAGTATTATTAAGTTTTGGGCTATTTGCTAAACGGGATGACAAAGCTTTATCTCACACACTTTAGGTATGTTGTTAGGAGGGGGGCTTTTCCTTTGAAAAGAACATCATGCTTAGAAACGTAGAGGGTCAGCAAAAGAGAAATAGACCCTCAATTAGATTAACTGATACATTGACAGGAATGGGCTTTAGTTTGTTAGAGATGATAAGGATGGCACTGGATAGGTTAAAATCTATAGGGCACCTCATAACAGCAACGGGTTGTTGGGACCCACTCACTATAGGTTCCATGGGAAAACAGTGAAGCTTTAAAGCCTTGGAAACTTACTTGTGGAAGATACCACAAGTGAGAACTAACTCAGGGATAGTGGCTTTGGTTTATTTTTCAAATTAGTGCCTAAGTAGATGGAGCATGATGCTTTCAATTGCTTTAAATATATGTGAAAGTTGGATAATGAGTAAGGAAGAATGAAAGAGTGCTGATACCTTTAAATTGTGATGTTGGTGAAGAATATTAAACATACTATAGACTGCCAAAAGAACAAACTAATCTGCCTAGAAAGAAATGTAATCAGAGCAGTTTTTACAGGTAACCATGATGAGACTCTGTCTTACATGCTTTGAGCTTGTTATGAGGAGAGGCAGTCCCTGGAAGAGGAAATCATGCTTAGAAAAGCAGAGTCAGGAAGCAGAAGAAGATCCTCAAAGCATTGGATTGGCACAGTAAATGGAACATGGTCTTAAGTATAGGAGAGATTATGAGAATGGCACAAGATTGAGCAGAGTTGAATCTATTATAGATGAAGTTGCACTGCATTGGAACCAACTCAGTGGCCTCTAACACCAGGAGGATTAAGTAAGTAGTCAAGCACTTGCTCACTAGGAAAAAAGACTCAAGTGCCTTGTAAGACAGACCCAAGTATCTCACTGGAAATGGCCACCACCTTGTATACCTTGCCCCCTGCACATGTGGGTTACCATGAATTTGTATCTACTCCTAGCAACTAACAAGTCTAAAAGTCCTAGACACACTTTACCAGTTCTGAAATGTATTGTTGACAATGGCATTGAAGACAAGACGATCTCCAACTGTGGATGGTCCCCGGAACTTAAACATATCCACAGACTTCAGAAGGGGATGCTTCCCACAGAGGCGACTGAGAAAACAAAGAGGAGGAGAAAGAGAGAAAACATTAATGGTTTTCCTAAACATCTCTCTCTCACTCTTTCTTTCTCTCTCTCAACTGCTGATTCATTTAATGGCTGTAGCAGATAAGTACTCAATATGCTTTCTAAATAAACATTTATTTTCATTCAAAAGTAGAACAAACAAACAAAAGTAAAATGGATGACTGGATTGTGCTGGTAATTGTTCCATACAATATTCACAAAATTTGGCGGGAGAAGAACTACCATCTCCTGAATCTGTGGAATTTTACAAGATGATAGTGCCTTCATTTTACTGGGTGCTGACTGTCCTCTTCTTGTCTTCGCTACTGTGAAAGTTCCTCTGAACAACAAACTGATGTCTTTTGTTCTAGTTGTATATTTCTCCTGAAAAGAACTCAGGTTGTTGGAGACCTTGCCAGCTAACTGAAAGGTTGGCAGTTTGAACCCACCACCTGCTCTGTGGCAGAAAGATGTGGTATTCTGTATCTAACAAGATTTATAACCTACAGATATTTATAGGCTAATGCACCCCCCCAAAAGCAGAATATACCTTCTTTTCCAATGTGCATGGAACGTTCTCCAGAATAGATCACATTCTAGGTCACAAAGCAAGCATCAACAAAGTAAAAAACATAGAAATTATACAAAGTATCTTTTCAGATCACAATGCCACAGAATTAGAAATTAATAACAAGAGAATAAAGGAGAAAAAAATCATACATTTGGAAGATGAACAACAATTTGCTTGAACATGACTGGGTACAAGAAGAAATAAAAAATTAAATTAAAAAGTTTCTTGAAACTAATGACAATGAAGACACTACTTACTAAAACCTCTGGGAGACAGCCAAAGCAGTAATCAGAGGTCAATTTATAGCAATAAGCAAACACATCAAAAGACAGGAAAAATTGCCTATTGACTCTCTAACCCAACATCTCCAACAAATTGAAAAAGAACAGCAAGAAAACCCAACACCCTCTAAAAAAACTGGAATTATAAAAATTAGAGCAGAGATAAATGAAATAGAAAACTGAAAAACAATTGAAATTATCAACAAAACTAGGAGTTGGTTCTTTGAAAATGTCAATAAAATACACAAACCATTAGCAAAACTCACAAAAGAAAAGAAGGAGAAGACACACATAATCCGAATAAGAGATGAATCAGGCAACATGACAACAGAACCAACTAAAATAAAAAAGCTAATATTAGAATATTATGAAAACCTATACTCAAACAAATATGAAAATATAGAGGAAATGGACAATTACTTAGAAATACAAAACCTACCTAAACTGACACAAACTGAAATTGAACATCTGAACAGACCCATTACAAGAGAAGAAATTGAAAAGGTAATACAACTTCCAACCAAAAAAAGCCCTAGACCAGATGGATATACAAGTAAATTTTATCAAACATTCAGAAAAGAACTGTCACCAATTTTACATAAACTATTTCAGAAAATAGAAAAAGATGGAATTCTCCCAGACTCATTCTATGAAGCAAACATATCCTTGATACCAAAGCCAGGAAAGGACACCACCAAAATAGAAAACTATAAGCCAATATCTCTTATGAACATAGATGCAAAAGTCCTGAATAAAATATTGGCCAATAGAATCCAATGATACATCAAGGAAATAATCCATCATGACCAAGTGGGATTCATAACATATGCAAGGATGGTTCAATATAAGAAAAACCAATTAATGTAATTCATCATATTAACAAAGAACAAGAACCACATGATCCTATCAATTGATGCAGAAAAGGCCTTTGACGAAATCCAACACCCTCTCCTGATTAAAACACTCAACAAAATAGGACTAGAGGGGAATTTCTTCAATATAGTAAAAAGTATTTATGAAAACCCGAGAGCCAACATTGTTCTCAATGGAGAAAGGTTAAAGGCATTCCCTTTAAGAACAGGGACTAGGCAAGGATGCCCACTCGCACCTCTCTTATTCAATATTGTATTGGAAGTCTTGGGGATAGTAATAAGACAAGAAAAAGACAGAAGAGGTATATAAATTGGCAAAGAAGAGGGAAAATTATCCCTCTATGCAGATGACATGATAGTGTTCTTAGAAAACCCTAAAGACTCAGCAAGAAAACTATTGGAC